TTTTTATTAAAGTACATTAGATTCTTACCTGCCCATTTCTCCAAGCTGTCAAGGTCCGCCTGGATGGCCACACAACCTTCTGGTGTATCTGCCACTCCTCCTAATTTTGTCTTATCTTCAAAGTTGTATTCTGCCCCATCATCCTAATCATTAATGAAGAGGCCCCAACATTGAGCCCTTGTGTGCTAGGGATTTGTCCTCAGCTGGACCTACTGCCATTGATCACAACACTCTGGACATTCAGGCAGTTTTCAGTCCACCCCACTGTCCTTTTACCTAACATATATATTGACAGCTTATTTATGAGGGTCTGACAGGAAATAATGTCAAATGCCTTTCTTGCCTTGAAATGTTTCACGGTAAACAATGTCCACTGCTCTCCCCTCAGCCACTCTGCAGGTCACCTCATAGCAGAAGCCTGTCAGTCCCCTTAAAATGACAAATAATGTATTTCATGCTATTCTTTTTAGGGGTCAAGCTATGGAGCCTGAAAAAGCAGCATTTCATGACATTATGACAAAATAGTTTCATAATTCACAATAGTTTATTTAAAGTCTCTTCTGTACAATTCAATAGATGCGCACTACAGATTGTTATTATTATAAAATTAATTGAAATTATTCACGAAATAATGAGACAATCAATAAATAAAAGCTCGGGAGACATAGAAATGGTTTTTCATTTGCAATTTTAAAACAAAAAAATGGCATTTTCTTATCATCAGTGAAAAATTGCTCTCCTGACATGGGCAAAGAATGATGCTAAAGTAAATTCCTTTCACTGAATAAAAATATGGTGTGGGTTGAATTTAAAATTTTAAACAGCATGATGTGGACATGCAATTATAGTCATAGCTAGCAATAAACGACCAGTTAGATCATCTGGTCAAGTCCCCTGCCAATGCTAAATTGAATTTTGCATTCAGTTTTTATTTTTTTAGGCAGTTTGGACACCTTCAGTAAATGTGATAAATACATGTTTAAATAAAAGTTATTTTGTGGTGTCTCAGTAGCCTGGAGAGAGAAAAAAGAGAGAGAGAAAGAGAAATATCAATTCAAACTACTCACTGTTGATACATCAGGTTAGTCTCATTTCAGCTTTACAAGGAAGAGCTGACAAGCTTTAAAGGAGGCCTCACTGCACAAAGAAATCGATGGTAAAGTGCACATTGATTTCAATAAATCTCTTTCAGTCACCAAACCCTATATTAGCTGGGGAAGGGATGCTGCCTCTTCCTGTCTTTTTGTCTTTAAACATCACGTGTGCTGATGATGGTACAAAAATAAAGCTGGGGATAGCTTTAATCTCAGGTAATAATGTTCTCCACTTTGAAAGCAATCCTCAGGGACTGGCAAATTTTAACAAACACTGCCCTGGTCCCTCTAACAAACCCCAGTTTAAAATGACCAGGCAGGGACAAAGCAGCTTCTGTGGTGTAGAGTTTCCTTTACTGGAAACAGAGCATTTAAACAAGTGCTTTTGGATTTTGCTCTAAGCAGGTGAGCTGTCACACCAGGATACTTTTCAGGAACATGTTGCCATGGCAGAGCAGTGAGGATTGGTGCCATGGTGGAAGGTCTGCAGGATGTGCCTGGGGCCAGAGGATGCCAATGCTGCCAGCTGATGTGCCAGTGATGGTGGGGATGCAGAGACTTTTCAGGAAGGTCTTTCTGCAAAGAAAACACCATCTGCATGGCATATTACTATAGTATTCATTACCACTTTTACGGGCACCTAAACTTAATTGCAAATCTGCACCTCTGGCCTCACTCTCAGAGCACAGATCTCAGGAAAATGTTGGACTCCTCCTTCAGAGTATGAAGTTCAGTTGCTGCCAGCCCCTCTCCCACCACTTGATCTCCTGGAAGTGTGTTAATAAGCAGTGGCAGATGAAGCATTATTAATTGGGTTCATTTAAAGTAAAAAGCCACTTCTGCCACACAAATAATACAGAGGGCCCATAAAAGTTTGGATATATGAGGCCAGCCCACACTAGGAACTGCTGAAACGTGTGGAAATAATGATTCTCTCTGGTGTAAATGGCTCTTTAGAGTGATGCTGCAAATTCTTCCCTTCATTCATCACCCTGTGCTCACAGGATCTGTGCTCTCCTGAGCCAGGCCCCTGGGATATCCCATGTTCATATCACGGTCAGAGATGAACGTCCTCTCTGTCGCAAGGATTCAACTTTTTATCACCTATTACCACAAGTTGTCATGTCAGGTTACTGTAAATCAGATTAACATTCCTCTAATGCGGACTTTGCAGGGAAAACTTGGCAGGGGAGTTTCAGAAAGGGGTGCTTTGGATGGTAATTTTAGTAAGAAGAGACTCCCATATAGTGTGCTAAAAGCACGAACAACAATATAAAAAAAAAAAAAGAGGAAAAAAAAAAGAGAAAAAAAAAGGAGAAAAAAAAAGAGAGAGAAAAAAAAGAAAAGGCTTAGAGCTGTTACATCCTATTAAGTAACGATGTAACAAATGTATGTAAGCCACCTCCTGAAACCCGGTTTTGGAGATAGGAGCAGAAAGCACCAGCGGAGGGTCAGCGTGATTTATTTCTCTTTTACCTGCCCCAGAACACCCTCATTTCCTGATGAACACAATGGCTTGGCACAACTTGAAGCCCAGCAAGTCAGATTTCTCTCAGCAGACATCCTGATCACTCTGATAGATATTTTAGGAACTCACCATTAGTTCCTTTAATTAATGCCTCTCCAACAGGGACTGGCGTGGCCTTTTCCCACATCAGCAGAACAAAATACCCTTCAGCCATTTTGTCCCAGGGCTGGGTGATCGCTTATGAATTACCTGAACCCAGTTCCCCTAAAGCCCCAGGTACCTACTGCCACCTTGGCAAAGCACCAGCTTCCCCCAGGAGCCTTCACAAACCTAGCATTCACTCACTTTGTCACCTAGCACACACTTGTTCTACACACCTGGACCATTCCTAGAGCCCACCTCGACCTTGGCAGAGATAAGAAACCCCTTGTAGTGTGGGGTGCACTGTCAGTCCATTCCACAATAAGCAGTGGAAATCTGTGGGGCATGGCAATGCCACTTTCCTGCTCACAGCTTCACTGCTTGCCTGGCAGCCCTGCTCCTGCTGGGCAGCCTGGCCCACACCACGGTACCACACGCTGGAGCCACGTCTCTGCTGACATCACTTCACTGGATTCCTGCTGATGCATCGGCCCGGGTTGTGTCCCAAGTCACTCACCTTGTCCAGTGCACCTCTTGCATATCAATTTGCAAAGCTGTAAAAGTCCTTAACTGTACATAGATCCACAGTAAAAAGAAAAACAAAACAAAACAAAAACCTCTCTTCAATAGCAGGATGTTCCCTCTGAGCCGACCTAAGCATAACTTATCAGAGAAAATTATCTCATATGCTGAACAAAACTTTCCCTATTGGAACTTCAACCTTTGCCACTGGAAGCCGGCACACCGTGCCCCGCCTCCCAAGGAGATCTCCCCCACGGGTATCCTTTGAACTCTTAAGACTACATGTGATGGATCTCAGCAATTATTTGCACTGTGGGCAAACTTCAGGCAGAGGTGCCAGCAGGGGCTGCTGGCTGGAAGCCAAGGGACGCCACAGCCCTTCCTACGGCCGCCTTGCACTGTGGCCTCTGGGACACAGCCCTCCCTGCCCTGTCACTTGCCGCCTCCGGGAAGGGAGACGGCCTTCCCTGCCGCCGAGCAGAGGGATTTGCTGGGCACTGTGTAGTCAGCAGGCTTTCTAAATGCAGCAATTCTGGCTGCCTCCCACGGGGGATAAGTCAGCCTCGGCGTGATTTACAAACCTTGGCAGGGTCAGGTATAATCTTGGTGTTAATGACTTAGGCATGACACCCAAAGCTCCTGGTCTGGGAACAGTCTTCTGCTTGTCTGGAGGGACTTCTCACTACCATTTTACCGAAGACAAGTCAGCTGAGAGTAGTTCTGGTTTGTCCTCCGTATGCTTTGGTCCAGGAAATTCTCACTACTGTATGGGTATTCCCATCACCTCCAAATGTGGCTGAAAATTTCCTATCTTGAGACAGCTGTGTTCCCAGGAACTGCAACCTCACTTCCCCAGAATTTCAGGGTGGTTGCTCTCAGATCTAAGGGGGAATTTCCACTGTTTGGAAACTGCTTTTTCAAACTTCCGCCAGTGCAGCTGCATTCTTGTTTCTGTCCCACAGCTCCCAAATGCTGTCCTTCCATGTGTCTAGAGTGCACTTGTGAAGGGGCTGCCTATAATTTAAATAAAAAAAAAGACTGAAAAGCTGAGGTGCTCAGGTTTTTTTTGTGGGCAGCATTGCTCGGGAAGCCCTCGGGAAGCTCAACCGGCCCTATCCTCTAGCTGCTGCACAGAAGTTTGCGGTTTCCCTGGATCTGTCACGGACTACTCACCCTGTGACATCCTGCCTGAGCTGCCGCTGCCTGCTCGGGGCATTAGCGACCATGTTCAGATGGTTCGGACCGGGCGGCAGTGCATGCATCAAAGCCTCTCGGCGCCTGCTGCGGCAACGAGCTCCGCGTAAGCCTAACAGCACGGAACACCGGCATAAAGTAACCTCACGGACCCGCTTTTAGTACTTTCCTTCTTCCCGCAGAAAAGAAAAAAAAAAAAAAGAAAAAAGAAAAAAAAAAAAAACCAACAAAAAAAAGCCAAGCCAAACCAGGGACCGTGGTGGGGTGGCAAGAGGAGCCGGTGCCTCGCACCACTCCTCACCTGCCCCAGCCGCCAGCTCCGCAGCAGGAGGGTCCCGCAGCGCGCTGCCCACTGCCGCCCCCGCGGGCGCTCCGGGAGGGCGGGCGGGCGGAGGCGGGGCGGCGGCGGCTCCAATGGGGAGGAGGGGGGCGGGCCGAACCGATCCGTGCGGTGCCGAGCCGAGCCGTGCCGGCTGCCGGAGTCTGACGGGCGCTGCAGGTGGGAGCCCGGCTCCGCGACGGCGCGTAACTTCGCCGGGCCGGGGCTGTCCGGGCTAGCCTTCTTTGTGGAGAGAGGCAGGAGCCGCGTCCCTCCCGCAGCGGCGGCGGAGAGCACCTCCCGGGACAGGCTCAGGTGAGGAGCCCCCGCTCCCCTCGCTTCCCCGGCCGCCCTTGCTGCCGGCCCGGCCTGGCTGCGCTCAGCAGAGCCCGCGGGTGGCGATGCGCAGCGGGACCGCCGAGCTGTCCTTGGCTTGAGGTCAGCGGGGAGGGCCGAGGGGCTGCGCTGCCCCCGCGGGGCGCGCTGCTGCTGCGCATCGCTCCGCGCCGCTGCGCGGGCAGGGAGGGCTGGGCCGGCGGGGCTGCGGCGCGGGGGCGTCTCTTCGCTTCTTCCATTCCCCTCTCCGCGCTTCTCCTTTTGGCAGTCCCGTGCCCCCGCTCGTCCTCGCCGTGGGTCGTTTCGGGGGTGCCCGGGCAGGGTTTGCCCCCGCTCCGGTGGCGGGGCGGACTTGCTGCCCGCGGTGCGGTGCGGGAGTGCCGCAGGCGGGCTGTGGCTCCTGCCGGACCCTGTCCCTCAGCCGCCCTTCCCGCCTTTCTGCCCTCCGCGGAGCGCAGCATCTCCCGCGGAAGATCAGCCCGCAAAGTTACGCGCGGTGCAGGCGGGGGTGGCGGGTGGGCTGCGGGGGCGCGCAGGGGCCGCGCTGCGCAAGCCGGAGCGCGGCCGGGGGAGCATCCGCTGGTCAGCCCAGCCGGTGCTGATGAGGCTCTGAAACCCCTTTCTGGGGCTTGGGGCTCGTGGTGATGAAGCCGCAAGGTTCTGCAGGCGGCGGGGTCGGTGCTGCTTTAGCGTAAAAAAATGTTTAATAGTGGATATTAATGAGGTGTTCCCCACCTCCCCTCCCCCTTTTCCCTACCTTTTCGGATGTTTAAAAAAAAAAAAAACAACCCGAACTACTCAGCTGGTGACATTTACATTTCTGTAGTAACAGCAATTCATTAGAAAAGTGATACTAGCAGGAAAATGAAAAGTAGTAGTAATGGAGCCCCGGGGTGACTGCAGATAGCGCCGAGGGACCGTAGCCCCCCCCGCTCCCCGGCAGTGGACAGCGGAGGGGGAACAGGGGGCGTTTGGGAGCCTGTGGGAATGCGGGGGGCTGGGAGCGCAGGGTGCAATGCAGAACTGGAAGCGCCGAAACTCTGCATTTTGTGCATAGTTCAGTGCTGGGTGGCCATTTTTCTAATCTTTTTCCTGTCAGGCTGTTAGACCCCCAAAATGCTCATTTGGGACTTGAAAAAACACCCCCTCAGGCTCCCCTACCCTTTTGTTAGGGCTGTTTCGATGCCAAGTACTTGTATTTTTGTATTCCAAACGGGCGATCCTTCATCAAGCTTGAAACCACGTTAAGATGTAGCTAACCATTTGTGAGGAGGATCTTTTCCTCCGCTTCTCTCTGGAGTTTGCATGTTTGTTCCTCTGTTACTTCCAGGGAAGCATTTAGTCCCTAGTACGATGGCTGAAATGGTGGCACGCAATTCAGTGTGCTGCCAGATGCTTACCTTCTTTCAGAGTTTGGGATAGGCTCAGGCAGTATTAAAAGCTTGCTAAGAGGATACTGTTTTATGGTTTCCTCCATTTTTGGGATCTGCTAGAAGCAGTCTAAAAATACTGGATCATCATTCCTCACACTTGTAACTACAAGACTTTCAAAGAACTGTTCTTAGATATGCAGCTTTTATTTTTCTCGTCCCCCCTTTTTTTAACCTTGCAAATTATTGGTCCTTGTACTTAATAGGGAACTACTCTTGTATCCTTGCTCTTGTAATTTGAAGGCATCACTATTGATTCTGAATTGAGCATTTTTTTAGCATCAAATCTTCATTATGACACAGAGTTGGGTATTTTAACTTGCTGAAGAGATACCCCCTAATGTTCCTAGAAGCATCCAACCTTTGCCAAGTGCCACAAACATGTGCAGTTTGTGCAAACTTGCCAAGAAAATGGCCTTTTTTTTTTTTTTTTATTGGGAAACAGATTATCACTATCTCAGTACTACTTCTGTCCTTCCTGCAGCAGCATTTATTTCAGCATATGAAGTTTCTTGAAGTCCCTTGCTCAAATATTGGTTGCACATTACTGCCCAGAACTAGCTTAGGAAGGCACTTTACTATCTCATGCAACCTTATCTGCCATTCCACAACTTCATAACAAACCCATTGGAACATGAAATGACCTTGGAAAGGTATCTTTCAATCTGACACGAAGCATTCTCTTAACAGGGAACAGCACTGCTCCACAAAGAGCTGATGTTTTCAAATTGATGCTTCTGAACTGATTTTATTTGGTTCTTTTTTTTTTTTTTTAAGAAGGAAGGGAGATGGGTGGAATATTGAATTGGAAAGGAAAATATTTTTTTAAAAACAAACCCACTCAGCTGAAGTTGAAGCACCACTCGGCTTTAGAAGGAGGTGTATTAAGAATGTACATATGATAGTGATACTTAAGTCTAGGGTGAAAACAAGTCTTTAATTTTAATCAAAGGAAAACAGCATTTCCTCTGCCAATTCTGATTTGCTCATTCATAAGATCTTCAAAAGCCCAAATTATTAGTGGGACTAATTGAAAGCTAGTTGGGTGTGTCAAATGGAGAAAAGAAGTGATGAAGTCTGAAGGAAGCTTTACATTTAGTTGTATTGTTCTTGATGTCATAATGTGAAGCTTCTATATGGAAAATATTCCAGGACCCTTTCAGTCCCCAAAATGCTGCTCCTCTGGAAAGGCTGCAAGAGCACTTGAGTGTCCCAGTCTCTCTGCAAGTCCCTCAATGTCCCTGGGCCTTACCCGGGTCGGCAGAGAGTGGGGGGTGCAGCCCCACCACGGCCGACTGCGGGGAGACACTCTCTGTGCCCCGAGGGTGCTGAGGGCACTCAGGCTGGTTGCCTTTGCTGCAGCAGAGACGACCGAGACGTCGGTGGAAGAGGAAAGGGGCCGACTCCCAGCAGGGGATATTCCAAGGTTTTATTAAGGAGTCCCGAGGGAGCTCCTCTGCCTCAGGGGGTTCCTCCTGCCGAGAGCACTGGGGGATGTTAGGAGCTTACATTTAAAGGGGGGAGGAAACTAACATAGATAAAATCCTACTGACCAATAGGTATCTCTGGGGGATGGGTGCTGGGGGGATAGACATACAAAACCGCGTATGGGGCAGGACTTGGGGGGTTGACCCTTGGCCCCTGGCTAATCACTCGACAACTTGGACCGAAACTTCTAGGTAGGGGGCTGGGATGTCGAGGTGACTGGCAGAGAGCCAGGGTGGGGGTTTTGGAGATCTTATCCCAGGAAAGGGATAACACAAGTAGAGGGAAAAGGAGGGGGGGGGGTACAGTCTGGGATAAACCATTTGGGAAAAACATGGGAATACAAAACCAACTACTTCAAGGTATTACAAAATATAAGAACGCACTACAACACTTGAGAATCAGCAGCAGTCAAGGAGGAGCTTTGCAGCTGCGGGGGAATTAAAGGAGGGGGTGCCTGGCCAGTAAGCTAAATGGGATTTTGGCCCAGATGCTGGACTTGAGGCATCAGGCCTTGCAAAAGGGTGGTGAGTGCTTTTGTGCCCATGGTGGTTTTACCTCTCAGTGAGATGGTGCCTCCTGTAGAGCAGCGAGGAGCGCCAGCCTCCCACCGCGCTCCAGCCTCGGGAGCTCAGGGTGTGAGTGCCACCTGCTGGGTGCCCAGCCACTCCGTACCAATTTCACATACATCCTTTATACATATGCATGATGCATTTGTGTTTACATACGCATGCTGTGGTTATGTACGTGTTTATTTGCATGCAGGTGTACAGCTTTTCCACACACGTGTTCTTGGGTGAAACTATGAAACTTGGCTAAGACAGACCTGAAGTTCCTCACCTTCTGAGGACTTAGCACAGCTTGTGTTTGGTGACACTCAAACAGCACTTGGGCTTTGTATTTCAGGGGTAAAGGGGAAATGTTGAAAGAGCTGACATTTAGTGCTGCCTTTGTTTTACTGAAGGCAAGTGGGAATTTTCAGCTGCATAGCTCATGTCTCATGGTGTGGCAAGCTTTCACAAGCACCTCAATGGTCAGATCTCAGGCTGGCAAGGTAGAACTGAAATGGAGGCCCAACAAACCAAACTCAACTCTGTAATGTATCACTTAAATGTAGAATTTTCACAGCACTGCTGATTTCATATTTTTCTTCATCTTAACTCACATATGTCCAAAAGATTTATGAGCATCCCACCTGGATACAAAATATCACTTCTCATTTAAATTACCTGCAGACCTATAGGACTTGCAGAATATTGATGGACTTTTTTTTTCCATTTTAAAGAATACATTTTTCATATTCACTCTCTAATGTTTGCATATAAGAGTAAAATATAAAAGTTTGATTCTGACCCAGAATTGCCACTGAAGGTGACACAATAAATCCAAATCTGACATAATTCCCAGCAATGACTTTCCAATTTCCACTAGCTTCCATCTCTCCTAGCCTGCTGGGGCATTGCCTGGAATGATGTTTAAACACCAGTTTGATTCAGCTGAACACTGAATGACATCAGTTGCAGCACCAAGGCTTGTAGTTGTTCTGTGTTGTACTGACACTATTAGGGAGAGATGCACAGCCCTGGGTACTGGGGCTTTGTTGGACAGCTAACCTCATTAAGGCTTTATTGCTTACTTATTTTGTGGTGTGCTGGTGCCAGATGAGTCTTTTACCCTGCCTGTGGATTAGGAGTGGGTCCAAGCTGAACTATAAAAGTTTCCTGAAAACTTTTAAATGCTTTCAGCTGGAAAACCTATATTGATGTACTCTTGTGATAAATTGATAAAACGCTTCACATGGTTTTGAAAGCATATTCCACCACTTGAGATCTGTACTTTCAAGAGTGCATAGCAGTCAGAAATGAGTTGATGGAGCAAAAAGCAAGTAGTGTAATTGCAGAGTTCATCTTAAAGTGTGATTCTAGCAAAAAAAAAAAGCACCTGCCATATCAAGAGGGATTAGAAGACAGGCTTTTGAGGAAGGGGACCCAATAATAACACATAACTCAAGTTCACTGTCCCCTAAAATGTTCACAGTTAATTTGATGCTTGACAAATTGTGAT